TAAAAGCTCTCCTTAAATTCCTTCTATACACAAAATACACGATTTGACAAAGCCCAATTTGTGCTACTGGGATCCTGTGGGCTCATTTAAGTGTATTCACATTCTCTGCGACAGCAGAAAATGATTATGATACAATCAAGAATATGCCCAGGGGTGAGGGCTCATCCCTGCCACCCCTGGCATGGTTCTCCTAAAAATCACCACGTCGTCGCCCGCCCCTCCCGCCCCAAAAAAGTACTAATATGTCACCACTGATATGTACAGCACGATTAAGTTTTCTTTTTTTTTCTGTAAAATGTATCAAATTTTTTTCAATCTTTAATAAAATTTTTTTTTAATTTAATTATTCCTGATGAATAAATACCAAAAAAATAAAAATAAAATAAACTTATGCAGCAGCTAGTTAAGGTAAGGCTGCGGATTCAGTCTCTCTCCCCCTGGGATCGTAGATATCTTTTAGTTATTCCTATCTTTTTTTTTTTTGCTTGTACTTTCATCGATTGGTGGTAAAATGAGTGATTGCTCAAAAGCAACATACATTAATTATTCCTGATGAATAAATACCAAAAAAATAAAAATAAAATAAACTTATGCAGCAGCTAGTTAAGGTAAGGCTGCGGATTCAGTCTCTCTCCCCCTGGGATCGTAGATATCTTTTAGTTATTCCTATCTTTTTTTTTTTTGCTTGTACTTTCATCGATTGGTGGTAAAATGAGTGATTGCTCAAAAGCAACATACATCCACTTGGTTTTTTTTTTTTCTCCATTAAAATTGTCTCCAAAGTTTTCACTGAAACATTTTTAATCATTGCACAGAGACATCAATACTGTGACATACTATGGAAAAGACTTGCCAGGAGCTGTCCTGCACCGGGATGTGACGGGGGAAAGGGGCCCCTGATGGAGTAAGAATATACAGGCACTGGTCCGACACGATGTCAGTAAGAGAGACAGAAAGAGAGAGAGCACACCCGTCAACATGGGGAATGTTGGGTTTGCAAGTTTTATCCTTACTTTGTTTGCTTTTTGTCTTTTTGTTTTGTTTTTAAATGGCAAAGAAATTTAACCTCATCTATAGTCCTCCTTGGGATATTCTAATGTGACCAAATTCCCAAAGCCCATTCGCAAGCTCTCCATGTCAAACGTTTCGATCTCTCGCTCCTGCCTTTCCAACAGAAACTTGATCCTCTCGCTGCGTTCCTTCTGGAGGGCGGCGAGCTCCTCTTCGATCTGCAACGAGCACAGTCAGCAGCCCCACAGCACAGCACCCCCCACCCCTGCACAGTCAGCAGCCCCTCAGCACAGCACAGCACCCCCCACCCTTGGTCCAACCAACCTGCACCAGGTGCCCCCAGCACAGCCCCCCGGGACGTACCTTTTGTTCCAGGTGTGCCCTGCGCAGCGACACCCGTTGCTCCAACTTCTGGAGTTCTCTTTCGTGCTGTGCTTCTGTCTGCATCTTAATTTTGCTCTGGTACGCGTTGAGCAGCTCCATCTCCTGCTGGAGTTGCAGTCTCAGGGCTTGGCATTCTGCTTCTTGGGCCTCGTCCAGCCGCAGCTGTAAGAGCACCGGGAAAACAACACTGAAACCTCCGCGGGTGATTCCACTAGTGATGTGCTGCTCTTCCTTCCCAAAGCCCAGAGGCTGTGGTGTTGGAGGCAGAGGGAGAAAGCAGGAAGGGCTTCATGAACAGCAGCTTCCCCACTCACATAGAGCATCAGAGAAGATCCAGTTTAACCCCCAGCACACAAGGGGCAGCAGGGTAAGGGTACATGTTTAATGGCATGCTTATTCCAAGCAGGAAAGAGCCACCTGATGCATTATTTAAACAGCTGTTATCAACAGAACCATCCAGTGGCTGGAGAACACCACCCTGGAGTGCTGTGAGGCCTGACTGTCCCCCACCTCCACAGCCCTGGGCAGAGCCCCCTCCACCTACCGCCTGCGAGGCCATCATCTCGTTGATGCTCTGCTCGTACTGCTCGGCCAGGATGGCGAGCTTCCGCGTCTGCTCGTCCTTCAGGCTCTTCAGAATTGTCTTGTGCTCACTCTTTGGAGTTACTTCCAGCTGGTGATTCTTCAGTGCTTTGTACTGCTTAGTTTGCACTTTGCATGTGTCCTGGAACTGCTTTTTGATCTGCATTTCCATAGCCTGCCAAGGAAGGAACGATGTGAAGAGCGCGAAGAGCTTTGGGAATGGAGAGGTTATGGTACATCCAGAATGGGTGGGTTGGTGAAACACAGCTCCCCTGTACTCTGTGCTGTCACCTGCACCTTGTGAGCAGGGTGTGCTTCACACAGAGATCTAGCCACAGCATCAGCTCAGGCCCTGCTGCAGCCCTGACGGTGGGCCAGGCCAGGAGCAGGACCCACAAAGCCCTCCTCAGCCCACAGCACCTCCATCCTCTGCCCCTGCTGTCTGCAGGTCACCAGCCCATCACCCTGCTGCCTGCCTTCCAAAATGCTTTTTCCAGACCTCCCTCCCGTTCTCTTTCCTCCCCAAGGCCTCCCCCACTTCAACTGTGCACCACGTGGAAGGTACAGATCTGAGAACTCATGAGGGTGTGGCACAATGACAGCAATGTGCCTTCTCTTTGGTGAGCAGTGGCAGGACCCAAGGGAACAACATCAACTTGTATCAAGGGAGGAGCACTGGAACAGGCTCCTCGGGAAAGTGGTCACAGAACCAATCCTGACAGAGTTCAAGAAGTGTTTGGACAATACTCTTGAGGCATATGGTGTGATTCTTGGGGTTGTCCTGTGCACGGCCAAGATGTGGACTTGAAGACCCTTGTGGGTCCCTTCCAACTCAGGCTATTCCATGATTCTATGGCACTGGGAGGAGAAACAGACCTCTCCCCACAGGGAGCGGCTCAGAGGTCTGTAACCAGCCTGCAGCCAAACTGGGACAGCACAGAGCACTCAGCACACCCCTGTGCTCTCTTTCTCTGTTGACTCTGAAAGCACCACCCAAACCCTCTCCATATTGAGGTTTCTAGGCTGACACCAGTGAGGCCCTGAACAACACACAGCTCATCAGAAGCAAGTTCTGTAACACTTTGCTCAGGACTGGACTATTTTTACCCATCAGCCTCAATTAGCACAGCACATAAAACCCTCCACAAGCTCTGTGTTATCACAGCCCACAACTTATCCAGAGCAGCTCTGTGCAAAGGGAAGGGATGCAAGGGAGAGCACAGGGAGCAGAGAGCAGTGGTCCTGCAGCACGTGGAGGAGGCAGCAAGCACAGCACAGCACGGCACAGCCTGCCCGGCAGGACAGAGGCAGGAGGAGGAGGAAGGAAAGCTCCCAGCACCTTCAGGTTCTTTGGTTGCTGCCGGAGCTCCATGAAATGCTTCCTGTGCAGCTCCCGCTCTCGCCGCTTGTTGTATTCCAGCTGGTTCTCGAGCTCAGTCTGGTGCTGCAGCCGGATCAGGTCCATGCGCAGCTTCTGCAGCGTGTGCAGCTGCCTGTACTCCAGCTCGCGCGTCGACTCGTCGTGCCGGATCAGCATGGCGTGTTCCATCTCCTTCTGCGTCCGCTTCTTGTTCAGCTCCTGCACCAGAGCACAAGGCAAGGGCTGAGCACTGACTCTCTCTCTCTGTCTGGAGATGCAGCAGTCGAGATCACGAGGCAAAAAGTCCTGGTCACTTGTCTACACAACATCCAGGACTTCCATGTGTCAGGGAAACACAAACCCAGCAGCACCATGGGGACGCTAACAGTGACCAGCTAGCACCCAC